GATTTGGCACATGCTCCATTTGATTTGGCCGAATGGTAGTCAGGTGAAGATTGAGGCAAGATCTCAGGAAGTCAAAGCCTAATTTTTTCCCAACTAAATCTTTTTTTCTTGAATATTTGGCCCTAAATCTACAAATCCATAACGTTGTGCTAATTATCATAATCAATAATGTCAATGTCAAAATCAGTATCAGTAAAGAACTGGAGACTTTTTTTTTTTTTGAGTTGGAGTCTCACTCTGTCGCCCAGACTGGAGTGCAGTGGCATGCTCCCGGCCACTGCAGCCTTGACCAGCTGCGCTCCAGCAATCCTTCCGTCTCAACCTTCCAAGTAGCTGGAACTACAGGTACGCGCTACCACGAGGACTGAAGACTTTTTTTTTCCTTTGAGTTGGAGTCTCACTGTCACCCAGACTGGAGTGTAGTGGCACACTCCTGGTCACCGCAGCCTCGACCTGCTGGGCTTCGGCAATCCTACCTCAGCCTTCTAAGTAGCTGGAACTACAAGCATGCTCTACCACGCCCGGCTAATTTTTGATTTTATTGTAGAGATGAGGTCTCGCCAAGTTGCCCAGGTGGATCTCAAACCCACGGGCTCAGGCAATCCACTCACCTCAGCCTCCCAAAGCGCTGGGATTACAGGCTGAGCCACCAAGCTCGGCTAGAGGACTGGAGACTTTAACTGAGCTTCTTGGGTTGACCTAGAGAATATCAGGGAGAAAAGTCATTCATATTTAGACCGGTACTGACCAGTTGTAGACATGAATAGGCCAATAAAAAATAGTGTGCAAAGGTTGTTCTCATCTTTACCTGAAATAATGCAGCTCCAGTAGGGATGTTTGCTTGTTTAGAAAAACTCCACTCCCCTCCAGATCATTTATTAAAATAATTACCCAGGTATATTGTACTTGAGATTAGTGAAAGTTTTTTTTTTTTTTTTTGAGTTGGAGTTTGACTCTGTTGCCCAGACTGGAGTGCAGTGACCGCTCCCGGCCACCGCAGCCTCGACTTGCTGGGCTTCGGTGATCCTTCCGCCTTAGCCTTCCAAGTAGCTGGAACTACAGGCACGCGCTACCACGCCCGGCTAATTTTTGATTTATTGTAGAGATGAGGTCTCGCCTGCCCAGGTGGGTCTCAAACCCACGGGCTCAGGCGATCCACTCACCTCAGCCTCCCAAAGAGATTAGTGAAAGTTAATGCTAGTTGCTGTAACAAATCACCCTCAAATTCTCAGTGGTCTAACAGATCGTTTTCCTTATCCCTTCAGTCACAATCTGACAGACACATTGCTGGATGGAGAGCCTTCCAGGGGCCATTCAGGGACCTGGGATCCTTTTGTCTGACCCATCTGAGCTCAGAGTTCTTCCTGTTCAACTGGAAGAGTGGAGAACTGTCTCAAAGTTTCTAGGGCCAGTCTTGACTGTGGGCCCTATCACTGTGGCTCACATTCCACTGTCTGGACATGCCATATGGCCATACCTGTGAGGGAGCTTGAGAAATAGTCTAGTAGCTTGCTCAGGAAGAGAATGGGTCTTCGCAGAGCATAGCAGTCCCTGTCACAAGTGGTTTTCCTTTGAAGTATTACCTCCCTCCACCCTCTCGCTTTGTGTTGGGCAGAGGGCACCAAGATAGATCAAACCAGATTCTTTCACCATTCTTCTCAAGCAGGCCACACCCAGATGCCAAGGGACAGGGCAGTGTGGCAAATTGAATTGTGTCCCTCAGAAATAAATGTTGAAATCTTAGGTGGGGCATGGTGGCTCACATCTGTAAACCCAGCACTTTGGGAGGCCAAGGTGGAAGGATTGCTTGAGCCTGGGAGTTCAAGACCAGCATGGGCAACATAGTGAGACCTCATTTCTACCACAAATAAAAAAAAAATTAGCCGGGCCTGATGGTGTGTGCCTGTAGTCCCAGCTACTTGGAAGGCTGAGGCAGAAGGATCGCCTGAGTCCAGGAGACCAAGGCTGTGGTGAGCTGTGATTGTGCTATCACACTCCAGCCTCGGCAACAGAGTGAGACCCAGACTCAAAAAAAAGATACTAAAGTCCTAAACTCCCGCTAGCTGTGACCATATTTGGAAACAGTGTCTTTATAGATGTAATCAAGTTAAGATGAGGTCACATTGGATTAGAGTTGGCCCGAAATTTGATGATTGGTATCCTTACAAAAAGAGAGATTTGGACACACGGGGGCAGATGGCCCTAGGATACCTTGATTTTAGTTATCTGGCCTCCAGAACTGTGAGAGAACACTTTTCTGTTGTCTAAACCACCCAGTTTGTGGCACTTTGTTACAGCAGCCCTGAGTTAACAATCTCCACTTCTCCTATTAACTGTATTAAGTTATGAGAATTCACTGAGCACTGTACTCAACTGCAGAATGGGTTGAAGACTTAGCTGGTAGGTGCTGCAGGGCTAGAATTAACATATTCACAGAGGGTAGACAGTCATCCTTTAAAGGACTCTTTCTCAGTTGACAGGTCCCAGTCACATGGGAGGGTTCAGCTCCCCTTATCCCACATATCCTGTATCAATACTGCAGACACGCTGGCCCCCAGGTCTGGCCTTTCTGTGGTCTGGCTGGTCCTTTTTTTTTTAAATAGTGATGGGGTCTTGCTATGTTGTCCAGGCTGATCTCAAACTCCTGGCCCCAAGCGATCCTCCGGTTTTGGCCTCCCAGTGCTGGAATTACAGGCATGCGCCACTTACCATTTGCCCGGTCTAGAGGTTCTTACTCAGCCTTCAATTCTTGGATTAACATCACATGTCAAGGAGGCTTTCCATCTTCATTCCCCACTCACAGCCGTAGGTGGGGTTGGTGGCCATGAGTTGCTCCCCATCTTGTTCTTCCCTGACAACACAAGTGTTCCTGGAGCATGGTTGGCCCTTGCTTGCTGCAATCAGCTCTTCAAACCTTTAGGACTTAGACAGATTAGTCCTAAGTTTTGTATTGTGGGGGTTGGGGTTGCCAGTTCTTGGTGCATAGAATCTGGGAAAAGGCAAGTCATCAACATGTTTCCCTTTCAGTCATCAACCAGTTCCCATTCAGTTAGTGATGACTGAATTCCCTATGTTTCAAGAGCAATTACACGAACAGTAAGATCAGAGATACTCGATACACCAATCGTCATACTGCCATCGGGGATGACTGTTTAGGGGAAGGAACTATTGTCCTAAGCGTAGATATTTAACACGAGGTTTGAGTTTTATTTAAAGTTTGGTTGGGTACACAAAAAACCACACACACTTTAACATGTTAAAATAGCCACATAAAATTTACTGCAACTTTTGTAGAATTTGATTTGTGCTACAAGACATGTTGCATAGGAAACTATTTAAAGCCCCTGAGGAAAAATATCCATGGTTTAAGGTGCAACTGGTTTTGTTTCTTCTTTGGGGAAAAAGGTGACAAATGATCTCTGGGAAAAAATGATGGCAAAGATTTGAGAAGCAGAATTGAAGGTCATTTTGTTTGATGCTTGGGGAATTGTGTGTCCTGGTTCTTGCAGCATAAAATATATCTAGTGTTTGTTTTTTAGTCAGTTGGTCTTCAGTATCTGAATCAGTCACTATATAATAATGTTTCAGCCCAGTAAGGGAGTATACATTGGTTATACTAAGTAATTAACATGTTACAAGAAAGCAGTTTTAGAGAATGAGATCAGGGGTCCCAGATGGCCCCACACCACTTCAGACAAACAGGGTGTTGTCCCTGCACATTGCTGGGAATCACCTCATTCTATTGCTGTACCAAGTATCAGTTCTGCCTCTCACTCCCTTCCGAGATGCAACACTTACAGTGCAACTGTAAAATTTAAACATACTGTGCCTGCACCCTAAGGGTTATTAATGCAACATATTGCCAAATTCCTGATTTTATGTGAGAAACATTTTCATTTTTAGAAAATGTTTATCTGGCTCAGATGCTCTTTACGTTGTAAAAAAAAAGTGTTCCCTATACTATTTATTTCTGAGGAGACATGGGTACAACAAGAAGGAAGAGGATTAAATGTTAGATGAAATGAGATGTAGAGTTTGGCAAATGACAGCTGGCACCTGTGCACATCAGAGTACGGCATCGCTTGTGAGGCCAACCATGGTGTTTGCAATGGGCACGAGAAGAGTCAGTGGCCACCAAGGCTATGATCTGGTAGTGATGTTTTCTTCCTGTTCACAGAAGAGGCAGTGAGCTCTACAGGAAGCACTCCCCCTGTCCCCAGGGGAGAAACAGTACAATGGCCTCTTAGCAGCAGGGACCACCTCACTCTCAAATGCCATTGTTCTTGTGAAAGATTAATTGCACTCTGGCAGGGCCATAAAGAATGTCACTCCCAGCTGCTTTCTAATCTATTGGCAGAAACGTCTCTCAGCACCTAACTGTGGATTTAACCATGCCCACTAAAGCTCACCAAAGATTCACATGTTCCGTGGAGGATCATTTACTACAGCATGGGGCAAGGGTACAGAGGAAATGAGAGAAGGAAGCAGGAACTAGGGCATTCTCAGAAAGAATGGGCATGAGCTGTACCCATTTACTGAAGAACCACTTTTCCCATTTGAGTTACCTTTTTACAAGTAGGGAGTGAAAAAGGTCCAACACTCGAACAAGTGTCTTTCTGTGCTACGTGTTGAAATGTAAAGTATGGCTGGGAAACAGAAATGCCCCCAATGACCTTTAAATACCTATATACATCCATAACATAATTTAAAAAGGCCTTTAAACAACATAAAACCTCAACAGCATCTGCCCCCATTAAGTTCCCCCCCCAAAACTTTGTGGTCCATTAAAAAATTAGATACCACCTTTCTCATATGTCCCCTCCCCCACATTCTTTAAAAAAGTGATTTCAAACTTATACTTAACAAATAGAAAGCTATCTGATTGGCAACAACCTGCAGTAGAAAACAACCTGCAGTAGAAAAACCCTTCGGGGCTCTCCCTTGATGGAGGAGAGAGTCCATGTTATGCAGATGTGGTCCTTGGGTCTGCACCCAAGGGTCCAGCTGGTGGACCCCGGATCTGTCTGAGTGGCCTCACTCCTCGGCTTCCATGGTAACAGCACGGGCACCCAAGGCAGATGGAGGGCTTGCACCCCAGAGCAGCAGGAGGTGGGAGAAAACCCATTCAAATCACAAAGTCATCGTGGTCCGCAGGGCTGAAGGCGGCCGCTCTCAGAATGTCCAGGGAGTTCACGAGGATCAGAGTCCCTGTGAGGTGTTTCCAGCGCTTGGTGATGGGGTTTTTCATCTTATCCAGGCCTATGTGTAGCTCCTGGATGACATCTCGGTAGCTGTCCCCGATCTGGTGGCTCCATGTGAGCAAGAAGTCATATGCAGGTTTCCACATGGCCTAGGTGATGAAGTCATAAAAATCAAGAGAGAGAGAGGATTAAAAGCGATTAGGGGACAGAAAGCAACTTTCCATGACTTGGTGCAGCTCCTTAGTCACTATGATGATACTCTTTTTTTTTGAGTTGGACTCTCACTCTATTGCCCAGACTCGAGTGCAGTGGCATGCTCCCGGTCACCGCAGCCTCGACCTGCTGGGCTCTAGCAATCCGTCTGCCTCAGCCTTCCAAGTAGCTGGAACTACAGGTGTGCGCTACCACGACGGCTAATTTGTGATTTACTGTAGAGACGAGGTCTCGCCAAGTTGTCCGGGCGCGTCTTGAACCCATGGGCTCAGGCAATCCACTCGCCTTGGCTCCCAAAGTGCTGGGATTACAGGCTGAGCCACCGAGCCCGGCTGATGATATTCTTTTAAGGGCAAAACAAGCCCACACACATAACGGACAGGTGGAACCATCTCCTGGCCGGGGTCAGCACGCTTCAGAGGGAAGAACAGGATTCTATGCGAACGTAGGTATGGTGCCTGAATACACAGAAAGGATTTCTCTTTCCTTACCATCTCCACAGAACTTTCTCTCTGTGCTAAGTTAGAAATTCTTTGTGCTAATAAAGGACACCTTATTCTTGGAACTTCCTGCTTCCCAAGTCTCACAAGCCTGAACTATGCTGTTCAGAAAGCAGGAAGCTTACTCTGGTGATCTCTACACATAAGCGAGAACACAAAGGACCTTTGAGCAAGAAACCAACCACACCGACTTCAGCTGATGTTATGTAACATACCAGGTATGGCTCCAACACAGCTCCTGGGTAGACAGATATCCAGGGCAGGACGAATCACAAAGGTCTCTCTCTGTTCATGCAATATTCAATCTTAAGGTAATTTAAGATCAGAGCGAGCACAGGAAGGGAAGTGACAACTGTGCTATCCCACCGTCCCACGTCATGGTGGGTTGGCTTGTCATCCTAAAGCCAGGGTACATGACAAACAATCCCGAGGACCATGCCGTGGCTCCCATTCTGTGAGGGTATATCAGTGCTGGGCACATGCACACATGTTTCCACTCACTGTATCTTCCTAGAAGTGCCGTGACATAGAACTTTCTGTGAGTGCACTGTATGGGTTGAGAGAGCTGGGGACAGAGGGGCTGAGTCACCATGAGGCTCGGCCATGCTCACCTCACTGTCCACGACCCCATTCCTGTCCCGGTGGGGAGATTCATATGCGTCCATCTGCTGCTTGGAGACCTTGGCCAGCTTCTCGGCCAGCTCCCGCCAGCGCTGAGCCACCTCCACGGCTGTGGTCAGGAGCACAAAGTCCTGGATGAGCCTGACCACCAGGCCCTGGCAGTCCATTTTTAGTAAGGCCTGGGGAGGAAGAAGCACAGTGTAAGGCACAGTCAGAGGCAGGCAGGCTCCAGCTTCCCATGGAATTCCAATGCAGAGACAGTGCCCAAGAGGTGATGGGCTCTACACTGTATGAGCACAGGTCTGCAAAATGTCCCCCAAACTCCATCTAGCACTGCCAGGACTCACAGGAGGAAAGAGGTGGAAAAAGGTGATGTGCAGGATGTGCTGGGTGGAAGAGTGCCCCCCTCTGAAATCCATGTCCACCAGGAATTCAGAATGTGAACTTATTTGGAAGTAGGGTCTTTGCAGATATAATTAGTTAAGATGAGGTCATATTAAATTGGGGGATGTCACCAATGACTGGTGTCTTTATTTTATATTCTATGTTTTTAGAGATAGGGTCTCACTCTGTTGCTCAGGCTGGAGTACAGGGGCGTGATCATAGTTCACTACAGCCTTGAATTCCTGAGCTCAAGCGATCCTCTTGCCTCAGCCTCCCAAGGGGTTGGGTCTATCTACAGGAGCATGTCACCAGGCCCAGTTATTTTTTTGTGTGTGTGGCAGAGATGGGGTCTTGTTATGTTTCCCAGGCTGGTCTTAACTCCTAGTTTCAAGCCATCCTCTATTCTTGGCCTCCCAACGTGCTGGCCATGAGCCACCACACCCAACCCAATGATCGATGTCTTATAAGGAGAAAAGACTGACACAGAGGGAAGGCCATATGAAGACAAAGACAGAAACTGGAGTGATGTAGCCACAAGCCAAGGAATAGCAAGGACTGCTGGAAGCAACAGGAACTAGAAGAGAGGCCTGGGATGTATTATTCCCCCAGAGCCTTCAGATGGAACCAACCTGACCATCCCCCCTTGATTTTGGTCTTGTGGGCCCATGAATTGTGAGAAGATACATGTCTGTTGTTTGAAGTCTCCCGAATTGTGGCCATGTATCTCAGCAGTCCCAGGAAACTAACAGACAAGGTGAATATGGATTATAGTTGATCCTGTTTCTACTCCCACTGGAGAAACTGGAAAGGAAGTGATACCCTCAGCCCCCAGATACTACAGCCTGAGGCCAAGGGGACAGAAGAGGAGCTGGACCTGCTGAGTGGGCAGTGCTGATGGCCTCAGCCAGGTAGGGAGCACCCGCGGCAGAAGAGATGCAGATTGGTGGGCTCAGACAGGACCACCCAAGGAGAAGAATAAAGAGGGCAGAAGAAGCCACAGCAGAGACTGAGAATCACCATCAAGGACCACAGTGATCAGGTCAGAAGATTCACAGGCATCGACCCCTTCCAGGACTGTCAAACAACAGGAAACACCTTCCAGAATCAAAGGAACTGCCCTCTTCAAAGCTCTAAGAATCTTCTAGTGTGTCTTTAGGACAGATTACTAACCATGGAGGGATGGGGTGGGATGGAGAATGCCCATCACCTGGCAAGAAGGCTACAGGACAGAGTGTCCTGCTCTGGCAAGAAGGCTACAGGACAGAGTGCCCCAAATAACATGTGGCGGCCTTGGGACTCAATTCCCCTCTGGCAAAAGGGGTTGGATTAGACAGGCATGGAACCTAAGTCTCCACAGCCCAATGCATTTGCGTGACCATAGGCAGGGTTCAAAAGAACATTTCTGGCTTAAAGAAATAAATCAAATCAGCCAGCATAAGCCAGCAGGCCTGTTAGTCTGCCTGCCGTGCAGGCAGGTCACTGGCTAGGCCAAGTGACATGACTGCTGCTGGGTGTCATGCAAGCGGCTCTGGCGTGATCCTGGTTAAAGGTGAGGCCACATATGGTCAGTGTGAGGTTTTGAGCTGGTTGGGATGACAACACCCAGCAGGAGCAGCCCCAAGAAGGCAGGAGAGCTGCATGGCGGGTCTGATTTTGGTCCAACTCTCCTAAGCCACAGAAAGTACATCTCATCCCTACCTCAAAGCTCTCTGCCATCCAACATGGGAGAACTGAGCCTGAGAGGCACAGCTGGAGATGGTTTCTGGGACTCCTTTGGGCCCTCAGTCAGGTGAGGACAAGACCAAAGAGATTTTAAGAGTTGGGCCGGGCTCAGTGGCTTAGCCTGTAATCCCAACACTTTGGGAGGCTGAGGCAAGTGGAATGCCTGAGCCCGTGGGTTCAAGACCCACCTGGGCAACTTGGTGAGACCTTGTCTCTACAATAAATAAAAAATTAGCTGGGCATGGTAGCGCACACCTGTAGTTCCAGTTACTTGGAAGGCTGAGGTGGAAGGATCGCCGGAGCCCAGCAGGTTGAGGTTGCGGTGGCCAGAAGCACTTCAGTCTGGGCAACAGAGTGAGACTCCAACTCAAAAAATAAAAATAAAAAAAATTTTTAAAAAGAGTAGAAAAAAGTCACTGGGTCTGGTGTTCCTATTGTCTCTCTATGCTCTGCTTGAGCACCTGAAATTGTCATTTTAGGACTACAAAGAAAGGGCTTAAAAAAACCACACAGTCACACAAAACAAACACCACACAAAACAAAAACATCATCCCGATCATCTGCACCTTCCCTCTAACTCCACCACACAGCTGCTGTCAGCACTCTCTGGTCAACTATTCTGTGAGAGAGGATGGGCAGTCTTGTCAGTGCTCATGCAGGCAGTCTGCCAGGCTGTTGCGAGCTCATGTGTTTTAGGTGGAATATACAAAAGAATGGTGATTTTTTTTTGGTGATTTGCTGCATGATCAGCCAGGGTGACTGACTCAAAATCCTTCCAGCTGGGAAACCAGCATCTCTATCTGTGCAATTACAACATGACAGATCAACGTGATGGCTCCTTGGATCTCAGAGGGTGGCAGCTAGACACCAATGTGGTTGGCGGAAGGGCATTTGAGAACCTCATGGCTTTCTATTTTTTCTATAAGCGACTACGATCCCGTACTTGCTGTGAGCCAGGTGCTGTCCTCATCCACTCCTCAGAAACATCCCACGAAGCAGGGCTGAGCTCAGCCCACTTTACAGGTGAAGCTGAGAGAGGGGTCTCTGCACCTAGTGACGTCACCAAGTGACATCACCTAGTGACGTCAGAGCCCAAGCTGCCTCCTGGTCACCTGTGCCAGGCATATGGGCCATTTTACAGATAATCAAGACTCCCATAGGCTCTGGGTGGCTTGTCCAGGGTCCCCCAGTCGGAAGTGCCAGGCGTGGGGGCAGATGCAAACTTCTTGGCCCTTTCCAGTTCTGTGAGCACCACATGGCACCAGGAATGGAACCATAAGTCATACTGGTCTGGAGTATGCTACATTTCAACTATTTAGATATTTCAAAAATAGTCTGTTTCCATTTGAATCTGGATAGATTCAAAAAAGAAAATGTTCAAGAAAAATCAACTGTTTACTAGGTTTGTGTATCAGAAGAAAGAGTACATATGTATGGGTCCTTGTGCAGTGGGAGGGGCGGTTGATAAACAGGTTGTCAGATTCTAGTTTCTTTGCATGGAGGGAGCCTGGGCTGGGTCTGGGAAGTTGTGCTGGATGACTGCAGGGTATGACCTCAGTCACTGAATGCTCCCGCTTGGCAATGTCTTGCGGGTTCCGACCATGTGCCAAACACTCCTGTGTGTCTGTGCGTTCAGCTGCCTGCCTCCGAAGTGGCCTCATTTTCCAGGTAATAGAGCACATCAAAGTCACCTGCTTCTGATTTGAGTCATTCCTGGCAGGAGCAATCAAAACTGCTCTCTCCCCAGGGGCACTGGACATGGGACACAAATGTCCTGAGATTGCTCTCTGGCACCCAACTGGCCTTTGCTGGAAGGAGAGTGCCAGGACACCACCCGATTCCATCCCTACCAGTGCAGATGAATGAACAAAAGAAGGTGTCTTTCATTCACCCACTTTGTCTCCACTTGTACAACTCTTCCTGAGCCCAGCACGGGTTTAGTTTGTTACAAAGCTGCCCAGACTATCAATAAGGGATAAGGTATGCATTCTTTAAGGGCAGATTTTGAGTGCCAACCAAGTTTTAGCAATAGAAAAAAATCATGGCAGTAGTCTCTAGCTCTGAGAACCTTCTTCCTGAAGTTTCCTCTTTAATTTTCATGTACATACAAGTATATCAGGCAACGGAATAATGCACAATGCTGATTTCAGCTATAATTTTGTAAAAAAAAATTTTTTTTTTTTAAAGAGACAGGGTCTTGCTCTGTCCTTTAGGCTGGAGTGCAGTGGCACAATCCTAGCTCACTGCCAGTCTTGAATTTCTGCACTCAAGGGATCTTCCTGCTTCAGTCTCTCGAGTAGCTAGGACTGTAGGCGTGTGCCATGTTCAGCTATTATTTTTGTAGAGATGGAGCCTCACTTTGTTGCACAGGCTGGTCTCGAACTGCTGGCCTCAAGCAATCCTCCCACCTCGGCCTCCCAAAGTGCTGGGATTACAGGTGTAAGCCACCATGCCTAGTCAGGAATTTCTTAAACTTGAGTGAGCTATGGTGTAGGTCAGGGTGACCAAACTGTATCTAAAAAGGGACAGACAGCAAGGATTTTTGGCTTTGTGGGCCACACACACAGTCTCTGTGGACATGGCCAAACAGCTCAGACAGTACACATATGTACAGCTATGACAGTACACATGTGAACAGTATGGCTGTGTTTCAATAAAGCTATTTTCAATAATGGTAGACCCACAGGCCACAGGCTGCCAATTCTGTCTTAAGAGAAATTTTTATGAAAATACAAAGTAAAATTTAGGCTTTTGCTGTCTTTTCACTCCACCCCGCTTCCCCCCTTGACATTCAGAGCCTAGAAGGGAGCTGACTGCACACAGTCAGTCAACTGCCTCCTCTTTGGGTGGACAAGGTGGGTGTTCTCCCAGCTCATAGAGGATCTCTCCCCACCATTCTCTCCAGCCCCCAACTCTCCCAGTTCTCTTGCTTATTTCTGGGAGTTTTTAAGTCTCTTTGGGTCTATTTCAGCCCCCACCCTACTCCTAAAAACAACTACCTCCCAAACGTGCATCCCACAGAAGTCTTTGCCTTTCCTTCTCATAGTAACTTCTCCACATAGCCCTCAACACC